CAGCAGCAGCAGCAGCAGCAGCAGCAGCAGCAGCAGCAGCAGCAGCAGCAGCAGCAGCAGTAGCAGCAGCGGCAGCGGCACGGCAGCAGCAGCGGCGGCGGGGGCGGAGGGAGGAGAGGCAGCAGCAACAGCAAACGCAGCAGCAGCAAGCGCAGCAAGAGGAGAACTGAGAGCAGCAGCAGCGGGGCCAGCAGCAGCAGAAGTACTAACAGCAGCAGCAGCAGCAGCAGCAGCAGCAGAAAACCCTTGCTGCAGCAGCGGGGCACAACCTCCAACGCCAACACCCCAAACTCCAAACCCCAAACCCCAAACCCCAAACCCTAAACCCTAAACCCTAAACCCTAAACCCTAAACCCTAAACCCTCCCTCGTTTACCGTAAAAGTACTCCAAATTGTTAATCTGCAAACCACTGTGCCAAACACCTTCAATAGGACGCCCCAGCAGCATCGGGGCCAAACGCGCAGCCCTGCAAACCCCAAACCCTAAACCCTAAACCCTAAACCCTAAACCCTAGACTCTAAACTGCTGGCGCCTAGCCCCATAGCCCAAACCCTAAACCCCAAACCCTAAACCTCAAACCCCAAGCAGTGATTTTCAAACCCTGCAAGGGAGACTTCTAACGAGAAGGCCTAAACCCTAAACCCTAAACACTAAACCCTAAACCCTGCACCGCAGGACACAAATCGTAAACCCTAAACCCTAGACTTTACGCCCTAAACCCTAAACCCTAAACCCTAAACCCTCACATTCCTCTGGAAATGTCGTACACCCGGAGAATGACGGGAGTGCCGCTCGCCATCTTCGCTGCTGCTGCTGCTGCTGCTGCTGCTGTTGCTGCTGCTGCTGTTGCTGCTGCTGCTGCTGTTGCTGCTTTGAACGGCCTCGATCATGCAGATTTCACAAGGTTAAGTTGCTGCTGTTGCTGCTGCTGCTGCCTCTGCTGCTGCTGCTGCGTCGACTGTGAGCTGCTGCTGCTGCTGTCGGAGCTGCTGCTGCTGCGATTCTACTGAACTGGAACAAAGAACTGCTGACGAGAAAATTGGGACTGCTGCTGCTGCTGCTGCTGTTGCTGCTGCTGCAACTCTTGCTGCCGCTGCTTGTGCTGCTGCTGCTGCTGTCGGCAGCGCATGCAGCTGCTGCTGCTAGCAGCAGCAGCAGCAGCAATGCCGGCAGCAGCAGCAGCAGCAGCAAATAGAGATCTTCTACAGCTTTTTAAAATGCTGCCTCAAAGATAAAAGCAAAAAGAAAGTTAGTGGGGTTGCCTGTGCACAGTGACGCGGTGTATGTACAGCAGCAGCAGCAGCAGCAGCAGCAGCAGCAGCAACAGCAGCAGCAGCAGCAGGGGCTGCAGCTGAGCCCGTAATCCTCTTAGTGGCAACAACTACAGCCACGCGAGTAGCAGCAACAGCAGCAACAGCAGCAGCAGCAGCAGCAGTGGCAGCAGCAGCGGCAGCAGCAGCAGCGCCAGTGCTGCAGTGTCTTTGAATCCCCGCTCACTCCGGTGCTGCTGCCTTCGCTGCTGCTGCTGCTGCAGCACCAGCAGCAGCAGCAGGAGCTGCAGTGTCGCTGCGACAGCAGCAGCAGCGGTGGCAGCGACAGCAGCAGAAACGGCAGCAGCCGTGGAAGCAGCAGCAGCAGCAGCAGCAGCAGCCACACAGCAGCAGCATCGCCCACAGTAGCAGCAACGGCAGCGGTAGCAGCAGTAGCAGCAGCAGCAGCAGCAGCAGCAGGAGTTTCATAATGGCTTCATTCGCCAGAGGCAACGCTGCAGCAACAGAGGCAGCTGCAAGCGCAGCAGCAGCAGCAGAAGCAGCAGCAGCAGCAGCAGCAGCAGATAGAGGTGCACATAGTGATCTGCCCATCAGCAGCATCAGCCGCAGCAGCAGCAGAATCTGCAGCCGCAGCAGCAGCAGAATCCGTGGCCGCAGCAGCAGCAGAATCTGCAGCAGCAGCAGCAGCAGCAAAATGTGCAGCCCCAGCGTCAGCAGGATCTGCAGCCGCAGCAGCAGCAGAAGCGAGCGGGAGGAGAGCTGCAGCAGCCATCAGCAGCAAATTCAAAACAGCAGCAGCAGCAGCAGCAGCAGCAGCAGCAAGTGCGCTGAGCAGGGAGATGGCGAGTGCAGCAGCAGCAGCAGCAGAGGCTGCAGCCCCAGCAGCAGCAGAAGCAAACGGGAGGACAGCTGCGGCAGCCATCAGCAGCAAACTCAAAGCTGCAGCAGCAGCAGCAGCAGCAGCAGCAGCAGCAGCAGCAGCAGCAGCAAATGCGCTGAGCAGGTAGATGGCGCGTGCAGCAGGATCAGCAGCAGAGGCCGCAGTAACAGCAGCAGCAGAAGCAGCAGCAGCGGAAGCAGCAAGAGCAGCAGCAGCAGCAGCTGCAGCAGGAGCAGCAGCAGGTCGAAGGACGATGCCTCGGAATGCGAGAGCAGCAGCAACTGGGAGGTGCACCAGCAGCAGCAGCAGCAGCAGCAGCAGCAGCAGCAGCAGCGGCTGCTGCATGCAATTGACGAGGCAGAGCGGCTAGCCAGCGACACACTAGAGGCGATGCAGCAGCAGCAGCAGCAGCAGCAGCAGCAGCAGCAGCAGCAGCAGCAGCAGCAGGGTGTATGGCTGCCGCCTTTGGGGCCATCCTGGAGCGTGGCATCTCATCTGCGGTCTCTGAGGGACTTCAAAGGCAAGGGTTTAGGGTTTAGGGTTTAGGGTTTAGGGTTTAGGGTTTAGGGTTTAGGGTTTAGGGTTTAGGGTTTGGAACTAGCCCTCGCACCGGAGCAAATCATCGCGCGCAAACCCAAACCCTATGCCCTCACAGCGCGTAGGGTTTAGGGTTTAGGGCCTAGGGTTTAGGGTTTAGGGTTTAGGGTTTAGGGTTTAGGGTTTAGGGTTTAG